GACCAGCAGCTTCAAGACATAGAGCTTGTTGCATCCAAACATGAGCATCATCAGCAGAAAATTTCATTGCACGTTCAAAAGACTAATCAAATTTTATAGTTTTATAGATTATAATTAAAATTAGATAAAGTCAAATAGATACAAACATTAACTAACCTCGTACAACATATTATATTGACCCCAAAGGACTAACGCAAAAGTAAGCAGATCATAAATGGCTGTGGCCAAACTAAAAGCTCTAATTCTTGCTTCTTTGAACTCTGGCGACTGACTAAGTACTGCATTTCTGGCTGCCATTGCCTCGCTGTTGTTTAAAAATACAGTTATTAAATTTGAAATTATTTTTTAAAAATTTAGCAATTACCTTATAATAAGCAATAATATTACTTCTTCATGTTCGCTTCTAGGCATGAACATATTAATAGTATTATATTTTTTTGATCTTCTTATATTTGATGACTGTTTTTTAGAGGGAGCTAAAATAATTAAAATCATGTTTTATTTTTTAATTAAATTGTTTATATGAAGAACTTACTACTTTGAGTTGGCAGTGAATAGTATTTTGGAGAAACTTTGCGTAAAAGAAATTCAGCAAATTGGTATGTTAAAATGAGTCGAATGGAATGACTACCATGGGCTTCACAAGCTGATAATATACTCCTAAGTAAAAACCATAAGAGTTGTAGTTAGGTACAGTATGCAAGTAAGTTTACTCATTATTTACCTGAATGTTGTTATGGCACCAGCATAGTTTGAACTCTCAATAAGCAATATTGGCAATCTCAAGATAGCCGTCTCAACTAAGATACTCAGAGAATGTGTCATGTTCACAGGCTGTGGTGAATGAGATCCTGTAAAAGAAATGTACTTCAGACATTTAGCATGAAAAAGCAAGAATATGAAAATTTACCTGTACCAGATGAAGAATTGTTATTTGTGATCTGTGGTGCATTCCCACCAAGTGGTGAAGGCAACATGAGCTGATTTTCCTTGTTGTCCAATTCTTGCAAGTACAAAATGCCTAAATTGGCCGCCTGTTCATAGTTTTTGATAACACCTTCAATCCATTCTGTTTTTTTAAAACGAGAACTGGAAGCCGGTTTTAACTTTTCTTGGCACAAACCTACGATTATAATTATGAAATGAATACACAATAAAAATGATATGCTCACGCTAAAATTATATTCAGTGGAATTTTGAATAAGGTTAACTCACCTTTTACTGCAAACGACTCGGACAATATCCTTATGTTGCGGATTTGTAAATCTGTTTGTATTATTGAGTTCAACTTGGCTTCTGTACAATGTTCCATCGCTTCGTCATAATGACCACAAGCATAACACAATTTAGCAAGTAACATATGACTATCAATACTCAAGCCCGACTAAAAATTATTTGAATTAAGTTAGTTAAGTATACATTTTATTAATATTATTATTTATTACTAATTTATTACTTGTGTAGAGAGTTCACTAATTGATTCGGTTAAGTATGATTTCGCTTCATTAAGACCAGCACAAGCTTTTGCAATGTTGCTCTCAATGGGAGGGTGTTCCTCTAAAAACATTTCTAACTTTGCCTCGCCAACCATCAAATTGTACAGTATTGCTAAAAATGGAAAAAAATTATAAATTATACAAACATAGTAATTTATTTATTATAATTTACGGGACAAGCTCTTTTTATAATTTTAAAAACACAACATATTAATGACTATAGACTTAGTAGACATTATAATTGTTTAATATTATATATACCCTGTTCAAAATAAGAAGCGACCTGATTTACGCTTGAAAACCGGTTTTACTAGTGGCCGCCTGAATCGCTTCTTAAAATGAACAGACTATAGATGATAGGATAGTTATACCTAGTAATGGTTGCACTACTTGCAATGATTCTCTGATTTAAATAAAATATACAGTGAAACTACAATATAGTTAGATATTTATAAGTAGTATGGCAGTACAAACTATGAACTATTATTGTACTTAGCGTAAATGGTGATTTGATTGACAGTAATATTTCACAAATTATATAAAAAAATGTATAATATTTTGTTTTCAAGTCATAACTTAACAAAAACCCGTCTATAATAGTATAATGCACTAGGTATCCTATTGGTAAGTATTCTGAAATTATTTTTCCCATTGCTTTAGTGACTTTTAAATGGATAGATAGAGTTAAACTTTCTCTCTATTTGACTTACAATTTGAGTATACATTTTAGCTTTACTCCTTTACGACAACTTCTAGGGACAGTCCTACCCAATCAAACCCGTCTTATCACCTTGTCCCACCTTGTTACTATGCTTTCATGCTGCAATAAATTGTAAAATTACTATTGTCTAATGCGGCCCAACGGATCGTTGTGAGTTAGGTGAACATTATGTATCTGAATATACTTGCCTTTGCCGGAGGACAACTGCTCGACGAGCTCCAATATCTTCGACCAATTTCCTTCTTCTCGACACCCGGCCAATTCGGACTCGACCCTAGTGCTTTTCACATTTTTACTGGACATTGCACCGATATGTGAGTCTTCTCAAACTGTTCAACGCACCAATATAAAACAATGGAGAGTGTGGAGTTTCGGGTTTCGGGCCGAATGCGTTTGAATATCAATATTTAGGATTTTGGTCGCAATAATTACAATGCGTCGTCAAATCAGTCGAACTCATCATATCTATTGGTGTTTTGTGATGAAAAGAATAGTGATCACAAACAACAAAAACGTACGATATTCGGATTCACAATTCAATAAATGTCACTATAAATTATATAGTTTGTTATTATATATTTTTGTGTGTGACCACAGTCGTAATGTCGTAGGTAGTGATAGTAATAATATTATCATTAATTACTAATTAATAAGTAACCAGTTCAAGGTCGTAAATCGTGACATACTACTCCACACTACAATTTCCACCCACTTCATGCAGAAGAACGACAACTGCGAATAGTGTACACTGGACTTGGACTACCGATAATAATATTATTATGCATTGGTGTCCTGGTCATATTATTATTATTATAATGACTCGTCTGTTACGAAACGAACAATATTTTCAATCTTGTCACACGGACACACCACACACTGGAAACTACTTTTCTGGCCAATGATAAGAAATGGTTGTTGGGGCACGGATACTATCTTAAAAAATACTATCTTAATGCTAAAAAGTGCCAAAGTAAAAAGTGCTATGTAGTAAATTGCTGCAGTGATAGCTGCGGTCGGAACACTCGGAACGCGTTACCAGCGTTACGGATTTAGTACACAATTTTACCACATCTGTAGAGCGCTAGTAGTATGTACTATCGCCGAGTATTTATATTATAATATAATAATATATACTTTTACAGTTTTACTATATAATATTATAGGTACTCGATCTTGGGCCTATTAAGTATTAACTAAAGTTAGTAAATAGGTCTCGTTACTCAATGGTACTATTTTTAATTTTATCACAGAACAATAATAGTAGTTTATAGTACTACTCAATGGTACCATGGCTAAATGTATATTTAGCCATGAATGGTCCTATATTATAATATAGCGTCTAGAGTGAACTTTTAACAGTAACAGTAAGTTAATATATTAATATAGGTACAGAATATTCGATATTGCCATTTGCCATTGCGATTTGAGATTGCCTATAATTATTTATGTTTCTTATAATCTTATTATGATTTATGATTATAATTATATATTATATAATTTTAATTATATTATTATGACAAAAATTAAGAGTTTTTGTAATTTAACACGTTCACGGACAAGTTACTGGCGTTACTGCTATAGCAGTCATTTCAGTTTTTTTCAATTTTTATGTAATTGGTCACTACTGCTATAACAGTAATTTACAAAACCAACGAAATCGGGCATTACTGCTCATACAGTACTGTTTTCAATGGTATTATATGAAACTAGAAATAAGATTGACCCATTACGTATGTACATAGGCGCACATAGGGGGGTGCTTAGCACCCCCGAGGTTTAAACTAGAACCCCCAGTTCCCTATGAAATTTATTTCAGTATTTCACCAATCATTAATACATTATTGTGGTTCAGACTTTTTTTCCCATTACAAATAGACAACAGTTCACGAATTTGCGATTAAAACAGTACTTATTGCATAAATGCACGTTTCAGTGTTTCAGTTGTCGTCAAAATATTAAACAATAAGCAGCAATCATATTATAGAAAATCGTAATTATATCAATGAAAGGTTATAACCACTTGATTCATTGCTATTTACAAATTGTATACAAATTTAAAATAATTGCAATGCAATTTATTATAGTATTAGGATTTAGAATGGTGTGGGGGCGAAGCCCCATTCGGTTTTGTGTAACATAAATTATTCCAGCACCCCCTAAATTCACCCCCAATGTGCGCCTATGCGTATGTACTCATATATTTGGGCACGTAACATTATCACACAATAATATTATTCCAAATATGACATGTTCTATTTTTATACTTTCTGGTGGAATTTTTGTTTTTTTGTTGATATGGATGTTGTTTGTTTTGATATTATTATTATTATTATTTTATTATATTATTATTGAAACGTTTAGACCACGGACTAAGATATACAGGACTGGCGACGATTACGATAACGCGGTCAGAAAAAGGTATACAGGTGGCGGGTGTACGGAGGGATCTTCCTTTTTGAGCCTCAGCGCTACCTGGTGGCAATAAATAACATTGCTCTTTTCAACAAATCCATGACAAAGGACAAACCAATAATTAATAATTGTTCAGTTCAGTTAGAACTTAAATTTTTCAAGTTATAAGTTATTTTCAAGTTATAATAATTAAACTACCTTTACCACCTCAATGGCAAAATATTAAATATTAATTATATAATATTAATATTTTACATTTTACAGTTAATGATGTTTAAAGAGAAACGGCTTAATGAATAACGAGTCAACAGTTAAAAATAATATTAGTAAAATGGTATTTATTATATAAAGTATAAAATTGGTAGGGTCAATTAATGAATTAAAAGTTTTGATAGTTTTTTTTTCTTAGAACTTAGTTTTTTTGTTTCTCTGTTCAGATTCCTAGTGTACTGCTTCATCCGCATTGTAATGTAGAAATGAACTATGGAAGTAAGCATTTCACTTTCGTGTTCTACACAAGGAAATTTTAGTAATTTCTGATGATGTTGTAATAAAAAATTTACAGTCTTATCAAACACCTCAGGAACATCACAGTATTGTACAAAGCCTTCTTCAATTGCTGAAACTAATGTAAAAACTGTATAATTTGGATGTATCAAGAATCCTTTAGATTTCAAATTTGTTAAAGCTGCCTCTGGTCTTGTATCAGATCCTTAAATAGTATAACAAAATTGGAAAAAAGGTAAATTAATAAAATTATTGGTATAACAGGAAATAGAAAATAAGAAAAAAATATTTCTAATTTTATCATAAATCAAAAATTAAACATACCCTTTAAAGCAGAAAGACAATTTAAACATTTAGTTCTTTTAAGAACTATTTGACGGCACATAAAACCACATATATAATATATAACACATTCTTTAGCTGTAGCTTTTTGAATTTCACAATAGTTATGATCTGGTATAATATCAACAACTGCAGCATCTAACGGATCACATTCATCATCTTCATCAATAATGTTATTTATTTTTTCTTTTAATTTTTCTATTTTTTGTTGCCTTTCTGATAGATTGCTTTTAGATAATTCTTTTAAATCAGTCAATGTTATTTTAGGCGTTGTTGAATCAAGAATCTGGCAGTTTCCTGTTTTGGGAGGTTTCAATATTGAAGATATTGATAGAAGTTTATACACTTGTAAAAACGTAGGTGATGTTGGGTGTTCATTTGGTCCAGTAGCCTGGCGAACCATACCAAAAAATTGCTAACAAAAAGTTTAAAATAAATATTATGTAAGTTCCAATATTTTATTTTTTTATAAAAAAATAAGAAAAATTACTTCAATACGATCTTGATTCATTCTGTTTGTTAGAACATATTTTAATTTAACTTCATCTAAAAGGTAGTTACTTAGTTCAATTGTTGACTTTATACTGACCCGCAATCCTTCAGATGTACTTTTTGTGAGAAACTCATTTGAAGTAATTTTGCCGTTAATAAAGTTAGTTTCCCAATCATCAAGCCAAATAAGAGTAGTCTTTAAAACCTTTATACCCAGATTTATATAAGCATAATAATTTCAAATTTTAAATATTGCATTAACTTACATCAAAGTCATTACTTCCTTTTCTTATGCCTTCAGCTGTATACTTCCTATTAAGAGCATCAAAAACTGAGTTAAGTATATTTGTGAACTTTTCTGTTTCGATACTGTCCTTAAGTTCTTCATTTTTTACATGATCTCTATAAAACCTAATTGCTTTTGCCATAGATTCACTGAATATCTTTAACAAAGTAGACAGTCACAATTTTGAAAGATATAATAGGTACTTATTACTAAATAATATATTATATACAATTATACAAATGTTAGATAATTACTTGAGTTGCTAATTTCACAGTCATTTTTGAAAATGTGTCCAGTTTTAAATGTCTTTCTGTGATTTTAGGACACACACGTGTAGGAACAACTGTATTTTGTGATACATCCAATTCATAAACCTTTTGGTAATGTAACCAACTTATATGAGGTCTATCTGGATGTACCTACCAAATAAAAATATATTTTTCAAACATTATGTTAAAAACAAATTCTAATTATTTAAGTACTTACTTTTAATGTAGTTTTGTTATTGAGTCTGTTTCTTATATTTTTAATTAAGTGAGGTACATCCGAAAATACATAAATGGATCGACTCTCATCCATTGGATTTTGAAATGAATTTTTCACATTGTTTATAGAGCCACTAACACCTAGTTCAGTCCATAGCCTTCTGTTAGTTTGTGCACCATCGGAAACAATACCATCCACTTTTACACCACTATTCTCCAGTAAAGAAATTGCTTTGACAATTAATTGGGCAAGTATAATACCTAAAAAATAAAATATAATAATTTAATACCCACTAATAAAGCTGTGTTAATGTGTTACAGTGAATACACCTTTTACTGTGCCAGTAGACGTGAAAACAGCTACAGGTTGGCAAAAATTGACAGACAAGCTTTGAAACATAAATACCAAACCATGGTTAGCTTTAGTATTTGAAGCGGGTATTTCGTTTCCAAAATTTTCAAAGCCAACATAGCTTAAGTTGGATGATTTAACAGCAATGCTTTCACGGAGTATTATTTCATCGAACAACAAAATACCATGTTTTTGTTCTTGGGATAGCATAGTTATTTTTTTTTTAAATAACTGAAAAAACTGATCGTCAAATCCACAAGGGGACTTAATACATGATAAATATGTTCTCACAGTACGAGGGCTTGGTAGAGGAATTACATTTTGGTCTCGCAAAAATTTGTAAGCACTTGGAGATCTGAGAAATGAGTCGTTTATAAATTGTTAAGTATTTTTGGTCCAGCTATTTATGCATATTATATACCTACCTTATATGAAAAATAATACTGAGAAGTATCCAGCTATCTGAGTATCTTCTATTCTTGGGATTACTAAACTTGCAAGTTTTAATAATTTCGTTTAATAAAATTTGTTGTGGCTCACTCAATTTATTATTTTTTAAAAATACATCAATTGTGGTTTGAGGTAATTCTTTTATTTTGTTTTGCATATCATGCAACTGGTTATTCAATTTTTCAATTTTAGTATGATACCTTTAGTAATAAATTAATAATTAGTCATTACGATATATAATAACAGTAAAATACTAGGTATAATAACAATAAAGAAATATAATATATAATATACATAATACTATAATAACCTATAAATTAACATAAAATTATGTTAGTTTAATCTCATATATATGGATACCTGTTATTTATTTTCTTCAATTTATATTTTGCTTTTTGAATATCTTTAAAAGAAGATAGTCGAGTAGGAGTAAGTGTGTGTCCGATGTATTTATTTTTGGTTTCTTTATTTGGAGTTTCACGTTTCCATTTATAAACTCTAAATTTATTCAATAGTTTTTCACAATTCACACATCTTTTCTTATTTAAAATTGTCAGGTATTTACAATTTAGAGGACGCCAAATTTTATTTGAACCTAAATTTGTGTTTTTAACTTGTATTCCTATAAATTAAATTACATTATAATTTACTCATATAATTTCTATTATTTTAAAGAACAATGTCTTCTGTTGTTCAGACAGAAAATACGAGAGCACTGACAGCCAAGACTTCTCTATAGAACTGTGCCCAGGTAGAAACCATAATAATGATGGTTATAATTTATAATTATTATAAAAACTTAATTTAAATACCTGGAAAATTGAATGCATTAGGTCCACCAATACATGCATTTTTTCCAGCAAATAAAACTATTGCTCTTTCTAATAACTTAATATTTAATGGAAATGTAATACATTTCAGTGTTTCAAGATCACTCTTAACTTCATTGTCATAAGCATAATAATACAATTCTGAATCGGATGTTATGACAATTTGTTTTTCTATAACTGTTTTACAGTTAGTAACATTTTCATACTTTAAACAAAAATATGTTATTGCATTTTGGTTGCCAAACTTGCTCCAAGTAATAGGTAATTCAACATTTTGATATTTTAATAATTCATCAAAAGTATTTACCATTTTCTGAAAGTTAAATTTATTGATATAAAATATATTAAAATACTTATTATTTAGATTAATAAATTATTTAAAAAATGCATATGTAGGTACTTCATTTTCAATAATTGTTGATGAGTTTAATTGTTCATTTTCAAAATTATTTTGTGGCCATATTAGTTCTCTCCGACATTTTACATTTGGACTAACTTCCACAGAAAAATCAGTAACAGATGGTAGAGCATTAGGTCTTAATTTAGGCTTTTTACAATTTTGAAAATTCTAAATATAAGATTGTATAGTATGTATATTAATTAAAAAAAATATATATAACCATATCAACTATTGGTTTAGTTTCTTACCATTTCAACATCATTAAAATTATTCCAAAAGCTATATGTACGGATAATATCATCAGCTTTAAAATGTAACTCACACAAACATGTAGGTTTATTTGTGATTTTGTTATTAATTTTATTAATAAATTGCAACCAGTTTTCACGTTGCAAATCATTTTTAGGTATTTGAAACAAGGAATATTTAATTGTTTTGTCGCCCTTACGACTTATACAATTAAGTATAGCACACTTATTAACCATATTAAAAAAAAACAACAACAAAATTTGATACTTAAAAATTATGTATATTTATTATAAATAACAAAATAAATAAAAACAACATATAAAATATGCATACAATATTATGTATATTACATCCAACTATACAAGAAATAATAATATAAATAAATATAAATAACTATATAAATAAAATAAACCATTTGAATATTGAGGAACTACTTTTTAGTCTGTTGACTGTTGCTGAGCTCAACTAACAGATAGCGCTTGGGCTCAAAAAGTATTTTCCCTTCGCACACCGCCTCATCTATAACTTTTCATGGACAGACCCCTGCCCCCTGCTTCCTAGTCGTTACCAGTCCTGTATATCTTAGTCCGTGGTTTAGACGGAAAACGATTACGGAATAACAATTTAGTCGTATTTTGGACGCCAGACAAAGCGTACGTCATTATTTTCGTGATAATTATTTACTGTGTTATAATTTAAAATGGCTAATAGTTCTAAAAAGCTATTGAAGAGTTTTTAGATGAAAGTTTTGAAGATGAATCAGACATACCGAATGTGTATGATTCTGATGCCTGGCTATATATGGTATAAGAAAGTATTGTACCATATGTTAGACATTACTACATGGAATTCATATTTTATTTGCACAAAACATTTTAACACAAATTTAAGCTTTAAGCAATTTCGTGATCAGCTAATTAAAAATTTAATTGGACTTCCAATGCAAACTACAGCAACAGATCTGTTTAAAATTAAAAAAACGAAAACTCAAGCGCCTGAAAACAATCACTATGCAGTAAAAATTGCAAAAGACAAACATACTTTAAAAATTGCATTCAGTGTTACAAAACTAGAATACGAAAACAAACATCATTTCAATGTAAAGTCTGTGGCAAACCTCTTTGTCCTGGGAAATGTTTTGAAGAATGGCACAATCATAATCAATGAGAAATAATTATTTGTTTAAATTCACTTATGATATCATTATTTATTTATTTAATTTATATTTAATAATATTATGTTTTAAATTAATGTGTATCATGAATCAAGTTGAAATCATGCAATAAAATTTTTTTTTTTTTTATACTGTTACTGTTATAACTAGGTCTGGGATTTCGATGCACTTTGCATTCTTTTCCTAAGCTTACTGTGCAATGCTCGTCTTGTCACAAATTTGTTTTATGTACATTTGAATGAGACTAAGAAAAGTTTATTTTGCATTTTTTGGCATTTTTTAGTTTTTAGGTCATTTTATTAATTTTTTAGGGCATTTTAGAGTTTTTGGAGCATTTTTTGAGTTTTTGGAAACCAAGTATGAATTTGATATTTTATTTTAAGATTTTTACACCAACATGGTTTTTAAATAAATATAACAGATTATAAGTAGGTATTCGTAATTCGTATTATATTATCGGATAAGGTTTTGAGTACCTTTACCCGCATTTCCTGTTAAATAATCTTAAATCGGTCCGATGATATCGTTCGACGTTCAGTACGAGTTTTGTCGTCGTTAACACCGTTTCTAGTTAATTTTTTTACTAAAACTATGTATTGACAGCTTACACTTGTAATAGATTTTGTAATGCATTTTTTTTAAACTTTTATTTAATTTATACTAAAATTATTTTAAAAAAAAAATGTTTAGATCATAAAAGCATTTTTTTAGGGTATTTTTCGGGATTTTTTAGGGGCATTAAAATCCCAGTCCTAGCTATAACAGTATATGACCAATTACAATTTGTTTTTAAAAAATTAAAAACATACTTCAGAATTTTTTTTTTTAAATTATTATTATTTCAAAAGAAAATTACCCTCTATCTTTACAACAGACAAGGTATAATGAGTAAGTGTGGTGACATAGGAACATCAGACATAAATAACATAATAGGAAGGCTCCCAGCAGTGCCACCTGACCAGAAATGAAACATACTTATTACAAATAACTACTTTAGATTCAGAACGGAGTGAAAGAATGTATTGATTTTACAATGTGTTTAGATTCTGAGTGGAACAATGAATGTATTTTTTTGTTTTTTTCTATATGTCATCAAAAATTATATGAATGTAAAAATATTAAAATGTAAACATTTTCGAGATCAGAATCTTTTCTGATAAAAAAGTGAATCGAGTTGGTACTTTTGGGAGGTAAAAATTGAAAATTCATAGTAGTTTGAGAAAGCTTCTAGAAAAACAAAAAAGGGATCATTTTTACGTAAGTTAAACCAATTTTTAAAAAAAAAAATTTATTTTTTGGTTTTACTCAAAAATTAATAACCGTAAACGCTTGAAATTTTCACCAAAAATTTATACTAACATTTTCCATAGATGGTAATATTTTCAAACTATTCTCGATTAAAACTTTTTCTCTAGGTAAATAAAAAAACTTGAAAATGTAATGCTGAGTTTCTTATAAGTTTCATTAATGGAAGTTGAACAATATTAGAGATACATACCTACCTAGGCTCAATTATTTTTTATATGCAATTTGAAGTTCAAATTTTCAAACTATTTTTCAGTTAGGAATTCATAAAAGTTTTTTCTTTCATAGCTAATATTATAGAAATATTGATAGAAGATTCCAAATAAATGCTCCTACCTTAAACAAAAAAAAAAAATTTTTTTCCATATAGTAATATTGTTTTTATATGAGTTTGAATTTAAAATTCTTACGATATTGATTTTCATTGGTAAATTTATGAATTTTCATTTATTCATTTTTAATATTTTGTTACTCTTATCAATAAACTTAGTCTTTGGTATATTATATATTTTTATTTACCTATGTGATATTTCTAAAACAGTTTTCGTGATAATGATATCATAAAAAATGTGCTTATAATCAATAAAAAAAAACCGTTAAAATCATTCCTATTCACCCCAAACTACTGTACAATAGTGTCTAGAAATATTTAAACAATATAAGTAGGTACTAACTTACTATTATTATGTACATATAAAATATTACAAAATGTAGCCTATGGGAGCTGGGCGAAGGCTAAAATAATTTGTCTCGGAACTTATAAAAATAGTTTGGTTTCTCTAACTTAATTTTGCAGTTTGAATTATAATACACTAGATGGTTTAATATTTTTGATTGTATAATTCTCCGTTTATCAAGTTATAAAATTATAAACATCTATTCCGAATTTCTGAAATGTTTTATACTCATATATTATTTAATTCATTTATTATATATTAATTGAACACCTCGTAAATATGCAAAAGGAACAGTTTTAATAGGAACACTTTAATTTATTTAGCACCTATATATACATTTAGACAGAAAGCTTGCGATTGTTTCAATATACATTTTTTACACATACCTACCTTTAAGAAAGAAATACATACCTACTTCGATAGATAATATTATTTTTGGTGCGAATATAGTAAAATTACTTTCAACGTATGCTGCCATGCTGGTAAATAAAGTTTTAATAAAATGAAAAATGTTATTCTTTAATACAATTATTTAAAGCAATTCAGTAAATATTATAAATAATTGAGATATACATGTTAATACCTATACATCAGTATACACAATACTACAATAATATAATTAGTAACAGTACACTATTTTAAAGACTAAGGGTTTCTGAATATTTTTTCGAATAAAAGCTTTTGTGAAAATAAGAAAACTATTCAATGCGACTGTTTGGAAGGCAATACTTTCTTTTTGAATTCAAAATTATAATCCCTAATAAAATATTTCTGGTTACTGATTTTTTTTAATAATTATATTATTCAGTTTATAATGACTTAGAAATATAAACGTTAATTAATGAATAATATTTTTCAGAAATAAAATTTATTTTGATGTAACTGCAACAGTCACTTCTTACTATTAATATAATATTTGTCTGTATCTTTGGTATAATTTAATATTATCTCTTGAACAAATATATTTGATATGTGTTTAGTGATTTTATCATCAAATATGTAAAACCTAATGCATTTTATGTTTGTTCAGTATAAATTTAAAAACAATACTATAGTGAAATTAAATTAATTAAAAATCTAATTAGTTTTTTAAAAATGTAAAGAAATTATTTATAGAAATAATCCAAAAATGTTTAGTGCCAAGTTTGTTATGATATTATGTGATATATCTAATATTTAAATCAAAGCTACAGTTACCTGGGAAACGAAATGCATTTGATCGATGGCGTATAGTATTCCCGGTGTTTAAACTATTGTGTAATAATTATTTGATTCAATTTTCGTCAAATAATTAAAATTATAAAACAAAGATATTTAATAAAATAAAGCAAGAATGGGAAATTCTTGTGCGAGTTGCACAGATTTCTCATTCTCGAAAACAGCTTCAGGATCTGTTCTAGATAGAGTGATTTCTCAAGCGTCTAACGAAGACGATTGTTTGTTGTATAAGTAAGCAATTCAAATTATTTGTATTTGGATTTCGTATAATTGTTAAAATATCAAAAGTATATATTATTACATTTTAAGGTTGGCGGATTATAAAAAAGGAGGAGAATTGATCAATGTATATAATAATGGTGGCCAGGACGAAGCGGAACGATTTATTGTTGAAAAATTACCCGGCCTTATGTATAACAACGGTAAAGGTCAAGTGATAAATCGAAATGATTATTTGAGATGGAAATTTCAAAATCGTAAACACGTAAGAATAATGTTTACCATTATAATACTATACCAATACAATTAATTGCGTGTGGTGGGGTTCAGCATATATGCAGAAAAATACAAATAATATGCTGTAGGTAGGTTCTTGAATATTTTTTCTTTGAGATCCGGTCCGAGTAAGGTAACCAATTTTATTAAACATTAAAATTTATATTCTTATCAATTTTTAATTTTTTTTTTTATATTAGTAAGTTAGAAATTTTAGCCGTTTTCGAACATTCACAATTATATAGTGTTGTATAGCTATTTATCTTTCGACAGGTGTTTTGTATCATCGCTGTTTTGACGTGTTACCAATCGGCTATCTTAATACTTTATAAATATACGTAGTGCAATAAGCATTCGTTACTTCCATATTTAGGTGGCTGTTAATGTCGAGGAAAGGCCGGGTCCTCACGATCCGTTAACAAGATGGGTGGACCATGTGGCGTGCTGGCAAATGCAGTATAGAGGATCATTAGGCGAAAGTTTGCTGCACGTATTAATCATATGCGATACCGTGATACACACTCGGCTGTCCCGACTACTTCTCAAACACTACCCGATGTTAAGTCAAGATGTTGTGGAAGGCGAAGAATATCTGGGTACGTCTTGTAAACACTGTTATAACATGCCTTGTACATTATCTTTTTCATCAGGCACGTATTCACCAGTATATTTTTTCCGACAGTTTCAGCACTTGGTATATTATTATTCTATTATAAGGACATAAAATTAATTTGTATAATTTCATACAGTGCAGTCAGGTTGCACCATAGATCTTGAAATGATTATTTTTAAACAGTTTATTTCATTCGTGTCTTAATTTTTATACCCAACTATTTACAGGCGCTAGTGCATTACATTTGTCTATTGCTTATAACAACAACGATTTAATCCAAGACTTGGTTGATGCTGGTGCAAATATTTGTCAAAGAGCCATAGGTATATATATACTTCATATAATACCAACCCACTATTAAATACAACACCTAAACATTATAATATATTGGACACAATATATTACCTTTTAAATTTACACAATTCAGGGAGCTTTTTCTTACCACGCGACCAACAGAATAAAGAAATCAATAACAAACACACAGATTACGAGGGTCTAGCGTATCTCGGGGAGCTGCCGTTAGCGTGGGCTGCTTGTTGCGGGAACCAAACGGTATATAACCTGTTGATTGATGCTGGAGCAAACCCTGACGCCCAGGACTCATTTGGAAATATGATTCTCCATATGGTGGTCGTTTGTGATAAACTGGTAAGTAATTAAACATTGTTTGGTCGCAAATCGAACAACGTCAAAACACGTGCAATGTATAATGTTGTAATAATGAATAATGGTATACTATTCTAAATGCAATCATTGTGTATTATGGTTTTTTTTTTAACTAAACTAATAATATTAACAACAAAATGCATTGAAACCACCAAACCAATAACCATCATGCATATCGTTGTAATATTTTTACACGGTAAAAAATTATATCTGTCACATACTATTGCTGTTCTTATTTTGCCCGAATCCACCCGGCAATAAATTAACAACATTTTAAAAAGTATATTATAAATTATAATATGTACCTACTTGTGAAAGTATTCTAATTATATTAAAATAAATTTGTTTCCCATCTAATATTTACCGGTTTTGGAATGGTTGGAAATTAACGTGGGTCAATCATATTGCTTCAAAGAGAAAAGTATTGTTGATAACTTATAATGTGCCCGATTTTTTATAGAGAAATCTGTTATGTTAAAATATAAACTATTTTTCTAGTTCAAAAAAATATTTTTCAATGAATAAATAAATACAAAAAAATAATTATTCAGAATACGTAAATAAAAATTATTTAAAATGGTATTCGAATACTTTACAAGACTAACGCGTTAGTTGCCCGACTAACGGTTGCCTACGTTGATTAGATAATCGAAACGAATTTATTGAATTACCATTACCGCAATGTTCATCACAAAAATTAGCCAACCCCTACTGTATTATTAATGGTAGTACAAATCATTTTAAAGGCGCCTATCCTTAGAAATAAAGGCTGTGCACAGTACCACTGTAATACTGTATGTATCCGCTCAGATTCGTTTTTCGTATTCAATAATGCTTTGTTATTGGATTTAAATTTAACATCTACATATAGGTACACTTCAGCTGTGACTTGCATATTATAATAACGCGAGGTACAATTATTTAAAAGCCAAAATCTTAGATAGGTATAGAAAAGTGATGAATAACAGTTTTTTTTTTTTGAATAATTAAATAAAAAGCAAGCACAGTCAGTGGTGGTTACGAGGGAGGGCGAAGGGGAGTTCTCCCTCCCCTCCTCGGGCTTTCTTTTTAACGTTTTTTTCTAATATAATATTTGGCTAAACAAAAAGACAATTTAATTTTTGAAAAATTTAATTCGCCCACCCCTTGGGTGACTTCTGGATCTGCTCCTTGCACAGTTTAGTAAGTACAGAATATAATTACAGTAATTATTTAGGATTCTTATTTATGCTGTTAAAGATGTACATTTTATTATACTTAAGGTACCCGATTTTTTTTTTATCAAATTACAAATATAATTTTTATTACAGTGTCCACTTTGCTTAATTTCTATATTTAATTCATACTAATGAGTAGGACTCAAAAGAAAAATTATTATATAAAAATATGCGAACATGACCTAAATTTGCCCTTAAAACCATTTACAAATGATTAACCAATAATTTTCCTAATTTATGTTTTTTTTTTATTAAATAATCATTTATTATAACAATAAATAATTTAAATACAAGTATTTTATAAACATTTTGGTTTATTTACCTTCTATAAGCAGTGCTTGAGAACTGTTAAAGGCAGATGGTTATTTTTTTAGAATTTACACACTATATACATTTACAATGATAGAAATATTAACAAAACACAAAGTAATTTATTAAATTTACAATTCAGAAATAAAAAAATGTGATAAAGATTTATTAATATTAATATTATTATTTAGTCTAAGATGTTTCTTAAAATTATTATTTAGATAATTTAAATATGTTACGTTTGCTTATATTTGGATGCAATTGTAAATAATTTTTTGGTATGAAGGATATTATAGAATATTTTTTATACAGCAAATTAAGAGGAAGTGCACTCAGTTCTTTATAATTATCATTAGTAGATTCGACCCGATCTGTTTTATTATAAGGTAGATACGAACAGCACTATTTTGTAATAAAATTAGTGGTTTTAATTTTTTTTTAGAGGCACCACCTCCCCATCCATATATTGTAGAATAGACTGATTTAGTGATGTATCAACAATTTTAATTATATCTGAGGAGAGGATTTTGTTGAGATAAAATAGTTTGTACACAATAGTATACAGCCATACAGGTACCCCACAGTTTATACAAAATTCGTTACTTATATATAGTCATTTATTAAAACATATTGTATTCTATATTTGAGATGGCTTGAAAACCATTTTAAACTTTCACTGACAATCCCAAGACCTAGCAAAGCTGAATGTGATCGACAGTGTGCTTTAGCAAAATCCCCAAAAAAGTGCAATAGATTTGCGACTGTGTTCAAGTGCACTATATATGTGTTTTGATTCATTATAAAGTGCACCCATAGTTCCTAGACCTTTTCTAAAACCAAATTGATTTTTTGACAACAGTTTATTTTCATCTCAAAATGAATTAATCTATTTTTTACAATCTTTTCTAAAACTTAGCAAAAATACAAATTATTGATGTCTAATAGTTTGCCAGATATTGTTTATCACCTTTTTTGAAAATAGGTTTAATAATTGCGACTTTAAACTGAGTTGGAAAAATACCTTCTTTTAAACTTAATGTTGATACATTTAATTGTAGAAATTAATTAATGATTATTGTAAAATACAACGAAATGTATGGTATTATACTGTTATTCTATTCTTATGAATTAATAATGTATACATTTTAACTATAAATAAAAATAAAAAAAAAAAAATAATATCGTTGAATGTATTTTAATTGTAAAAATTTACATAAATCATAAACGAAAAAAAGTAATTTTAACTGTAGAAATTAGTTTAAAAAGACTTTAGAATGCCAAAAAATTTACTATAAACAAAAAAAAAAAAAAACAAAGCCATTCACTTCTTAATATTTTAATGTGTACCTATAAGTATCTATAAGAGGAATACATTTATAATTTATTTATTTGCCCAGAGTATGTTTGGTTATGCGTTGAAACATCCTAAAGTGCCAGCAAGTAATGGTATCATGAACGTGGCAGGACTAACACCTTTAACACTATCGTGCAAACTTGCAAGAACTAGTGTTTTCCGTGAAATGTTGGAACTAAGTGCACGGGAATTTTGGAGATATAGTAATATTACGTGTTCGGCATATCCTTTAAGCGCGTTAGACACATTACTTCCAGACGGAAGAACAAGTTTGTTAATCAATACTGAATTTAGTTAGGTGATGGAATAAAATATAATTTTGAAATATTATTACGATCTATTGTAGATTGGAATTCAGTATTGTTTATAATTTTGGACGGTACCAAAGAAGAACATTTAGACATGCTCGATGGGGGCATAATTCAAAAATTATTAGAAGAAAAGTGGAAAACTTTTGCTCGGGTATGTACCTATACTATTGCTATTGCTATTTTTATTTATAAGCATAAATGGTTTTATTTTTATTTTGTTTTTTTATTTGGTCAAAGAAACAATTTATGAAACGTTTGGTTATATTATCCATCCATCTAATCATGTTGAGTATTTCTATATACCTAAGACCCGTGGACCAAGACAAACCACTGTTAGGAGAAGCAGAAGATTGGCAAGACGTGGCAAGGTATTGTTTTGAAGGTGGAACAGTAGTCGGAGTGCTGTCATATTTAATCGTTCAGCAAGGCGGAGAAATACTCAATCAAGGTCTGGTAGGATTTTTAAAACAAACGGTAAATGGCCAGGCAAATCGTCTTGAATTTACTGTTCAAAAATTAACAGCACGTTTGATTACAGTTCAAAGAACCGGCCAAACTGATATTTCTGATTTCAAATTTATTGATATTGGCTTGTATACCACCCAGGATGATGGGTGACAAACAGACGGAGGAAGCCATATTAGTATTTGCAGTTCCCGGATCATGGTTTTTGTTAATGTTTTTTGCCGGGTATTTTATATTATAATATTAATAGATAATTTAAGCGTTATGCATATAATACGAGACAAAAATAAAAGATGTTAATGATGAGTAATACATTGAATACTGTGTCTTAGCGCTATACGTCTGACTGGTCCTTTCGTAACTATGGTTTACTTGATGATCACAGGAGACATGTTAACCTTCTTCGTCATATACTCAGTAATTTTGTCTGGTTTTACGCAATCGTTTTTTTTCCTCTACAAAGGATCGCCAGACGTCAGTACGTCGTTGTATAAATCTTACCCTTCTACGTGGATGGCTTTATTTCAAATTACTATGGGCGACTACAATGTGAGTTACGGCCGTATGAGCCTATGATTCCTTATGACGCAACACGTAATGATCATAATATATTATATAATATTATAATACGTTACGTTTATGTATATAGTACGCGGATTTGAGTTACACCGTATATCCAGCGCTCAGCAAAACTGTGTTTACGGTTTTCATGGTGTTGGTGCCAATTTTATTACTTAACATGTTAATAGCTATGATGGGCAACACTTATGCGCACGTCATCGAACAGAGCGAAAGGAATGGATGAAACAGGTGAAACACAATACTAATATTGGGTCGTATAGTTATTATGTATTGTTCTACTTAAATTATACCTATAGCTATAGGCTATACCATTATACCAATACAAATACAATAACGCATTTGATGTGCTTATTTCAGTGGGCCAAGATTGTAGTTACCCTTGAAAGAGCTGTACCACAAAAAGCAGCCAGGAATTACCTCGAAGAATATAGTATTCAATTGGCTCCCGGCGACGATGTAAATCCAGAACAAAGAGGATTCATGGTTATAAAATGTAAAAGCCAAACTAGAGCGAAACAGCGAAAAGGCGCCGTCATAAATTGGAAGGTATATATTTACGTTTTTTTTTTTAAATGCAAAATATTCTGACATTTTTTAATAATTTTGTCTTAATAATAATATAATATTAAATTAAATACGGATGTATGACACAAGCGCCAAAGATATAAAATACATATAATTTGTGCCAAAATTAGTAGGACATAATCAGTTAATTAAATATATAACGACATAAATTATGTCGTTTGCAATTTGCTACAATATTAATATTTTATATAAGCATTTAAAATTATTCAAAAACTATTTATAATCTATACAATATAAAAAAGTCTTAAATTCTATGTTTTTGTTCATTAAATAAAATACATAAAACACTCTGCAGATAATACATTTGACGATTAAGATTATGCGTTTAACATTTTTCTGTGATTTTGTCGCTTTTGTATGATGCTTTAGTTATTTTTTTCTTAGCTCGTTTTGGCGTTTATGTCTTTTACTGGTTAAATACAAATGTTGTAAAAATTGAGGTATTTTGTTTTTAATTTTTGTTTATAAAAACTAAAATGTATATCATACTTCAGAAAAGCGGAAAGTTGGTCATTCAAGAACTTCGTAGATTAGAAGGTACTGGCCAAAATTTAAGAGATATGATTTGGAAACGATCGTCTCTATCAGCGTCTTCTCCGGTTGCTAAAAGCGTATCAATGTAATTATTTCAGCTATATATTTAGTTAAAATAAAATAAATTCTTTTCAATTTTGTAATTAGAACAAAAAATAAAAGCAAGTCCTATTCTGAAGCAAAAGATGACCAAATTCGGCTTTCTGGTGCACTAGGAGCAGCACTAGACGCGATTGCTGTAGCTCATGACTTAGACATGACTCTGACAAAAGATCAATCGATTGATGGTACCTACCTATTTTGATTTATATAGACATGTTATGATATTTATTAGTTTAGAATATTGATTATTGTAAGTAATTTTTTTCAGAATTACACGATCCTTTAAGACAATTAGTAATAATGTCAGAAAGTGATAAAAATATTGATAAAAGTCAAGTCGAAATAGTGGCAAATGCAGCAGCAAAAATTGCAGTAAGTTTTCGTTAAATGTTTACAGTTTATTTAAAAAGAGCAATTTATATGATCATTTTTAAATTTAAATATATTTATTCAGAATCAAGATTCTATAAAACCGATATCGTTTAATTTAGAGCAACAAAATGACGGTAAGTAAATATTTATTGTTATATTCGCTTAAGTATGTTTTTAACAATGTATTTTTAAAATGCCAGTAAAAAATGAAAAAACGAAAATTCCAACTTCTAGCAACACAATTACAAATAGAAAACTCTTAAACAAGCAATCTAAAAATTTAAGCATGTATGGTTTTGAGAGTCAGGACATGTCAGTAGATAAATACAGCAAAACAATTGCAATCACAAGAAGTATTTCAACTCAAACTGGAGGTATTGGTATCATCGAAAAAAACGAACGACAGATAATTAGACCAAAAACTGCAAAAATCAATCGGTTAGTATATAATATAAATAATATAATTCACAAAGATCAGTTTTGAAACATAATATTATGTTTAAAGGTAGTTATTTAAAAAATGTATGTATATCTGATAAAAAAAACTGTATTTGGGTTGTAATGTGCAGGATATTGTATTATAAGGTAAATTTTAATAATTACCTATGTATAGTTAATGGAAAAATGAATATCCATATTTAATTTTAATTTTTTAATTATTTTATGAAAAAATACTGTATGTATTATCAGTTATTATTTTTGTTTCAATCAATATTATGCATATTATAGCGTACGCCACAAAATCGTATTCTGAATTTTTTATAAAATTAAAATATCTTAAATTTTTCAATAACCTTCTTGGAGGTCCTCTACCTCTTCTTTGATCCGTTCAAAATCAATGTTTTATCGTAACAAAATATAATATCGACAGTAGAAATTATAGTTTTTTTTTCGCCTGCAGTATTTTAGTCCATAACAATATTGCAGGTTTAATAATTATTATTAAAAAAAAAAATTGCATTATTAAATTACAAAAAAGTGACGAAAGTCATGGAAGAGACTTTGACTAAATCTGTAATAAGTGGAATAATAAATTATTTTTAAGTAAATGTATATAACTTGGTAATTTATGACCAACGCATTGAATTAAATATACCTTTTAAATCCCCCAATAAATACCTACCTAGATACACTTAATTATTTAGTTAATGCTATAATCACTGTAGATGAATTTATCAATTATTTAAATGAATTCAAATCTCTTGACGATTACCTTAAAACCTTCTACTGTCACAGAAATACCTATAATAATTAAATTTCTAATAATATACTTTCTATAAATAAACGTCGATAAGAATTTGAATAATAAAAGTCAAGATTTTCTTGGACAAATGTTTGACGTGTTTGAAGCAACCTACAGATACGATAAAATATTTTGTGAATTCAGTTTATTATTGCTTCAGAAAAATACATTTGTTTTGCGTGAAACAGTCATAATGTTAAGATATTATAATAATATTAAAGGGGTTCGGCGAATATTTTATTTTGATTTCACGATGGTGTTTCCAGCGTGACGCCCACACAGAATTTCGCAGTGAAAAGAGGCCAATCGGCACAGCCGGACAAACGGGAAGACCACAGTGATAACAAGGAGCAACAGTGTTATTGCATCAGTGGCAACAACATGTTGCGGCCGTGGAGCACTCAAGACCTGGCGCCGTTGAACACGATCATGGCTTGGGGTCCCAACGACGATTTCTGACGGAATGACCAGGGATAATAGAACTTAAATAATACAAATACCTATACATAATATATTATAGCACGGCGGTGAAACGACCATTAATATAATATTGAATAATGCAACTATATACCCGGTATGCGTTTATGTCGCTTTATAGTGACACCCATCGTTTTCCCGGAGCACTCGCCCTACCCGCTGTTTGTCTCTGTCTTTCGCGGGCGGAACATGGAAAATCTACTTAACTCCTTGCCGGATTCTTATTACGTTTTATTTATAGTCAATATTATCAGAGCAAATTTACATAATATTATTATCGAGTTTGCTGAGAAGAATATAAACCGTGCTATCGTGCGAAGACTTTTTTTCATATGTTTATTTTACAACTAGTCGTATGAATTTGAAATTTAAAATTTTTCAAATACTATTACAACCCATTATAAAAAAAAATAATATGTTTAAAAAACTCTTCGATCGAGCTGCACCGTTTATACTGTCTCGTCTGCAAATCCGATAACATATTATGTAAAATGGCTCTAGTATTATTAACAATTTGTCTAGGTACCAACAAACTGCAGTGAAGGGTTCATATAGATTTGCTGTACGTATTACGAGTGGTACTTTTTTATTTTTAACATACGATTTTAAAGTGCACGTGAATTGCTTCATAATTAAAGTATAAAATTAAACCTATGAGGTACTCCAGATAATATATTTTATTCTTACCTTTGGATTTGATAATACCTACTTCAATTCACTCTATTATTAAAAAATAAAAATAACAGAGAAAAATGGATTCTTCTTAACGTAAAATGTCCTTTGTATGTTATGCATACAGATTGTATTAAGACGGAGTCAACACACGTGGGTACGACGTCCTAGTTCTTTAACCCAAAATTCCCGGCTCCTGGTTCGATGATTAAATTACAGCTCGCCGTGGTAGTTAATATTCATAACATGTACCCTGCAGCAGGATAGTATTAAAAAAAAAAAATTAAATAATATATAAATACTATAACCTTCGTCATATATTTTTGTTGTATACATTATTAATTATTATTATACAATATATTACAATATGATACCAAAATATGATTAGTAAATAATAATATTAATAATATGAAGTGTGGCCGAAAGTTTTAATTAAATTGGGAAGCCAAATTAACCATTTTTTATGAGCTCGTAGTTCGTACTATGCTATTTTAGAGTATTGTGTTTATATATATATTCCGAGCATGAACTACAAGGTACATGGTTAGACAGGTACGAACAATATTTATTGCGAAAAATGTAAAGTCAAATTAGGATAGATAATATCGACTGGGTTTTGGAGTGTTTAAGAGTCGACTACGATTTATGTTAATTACTAAACGTGATATTTTTTAAATTTTTCAGTTTTCCATTACAAATACAATTATTATTGCACAGGTATAGTTGGTATAACTAGTATTTATGAAAACAGGGCTTGCGGATTGGGTACAGCTATTTTGCGAATCGCGTGTAATGTTTAGTGCAACTTTTAAATATTAATTGCTTCGAGCGGTAGTCATTTAGCGGTAAAACAAATAAATTATAATTTTAATTTCCGTAACATTGAAATTGTCTTTCGGTAAAGGAATTGCGTTAAAGTGGTGTATACACGCGTGCAACAGACGAATTCAGTACTTATACTGTACAAAAACAACTCAAACCGTTTTTCTTAATATACATTATAATATATTAATATAGTGAAGTGGATTTTTCGGAGTACACTTCGTTGGTTCGTTAAAATATGTTTAACGATAACATACATTTTTCATTCGATATTAAAAACGCAGTATTTTAATATCTCGTTATAGGTACCTAGGTAATTTATAGATTTATACATTGTACGTACTTTATTTTAAGTGTTATAGTTCCTATAGCTGGTAACAGAACCTTGGCTGTTCCGATCAAGGATGCCTTTATAA